TAGAGGGTGGTACTATGGCAACGGGCGCAACAGAAGGGCCACGAAGCTGCCAGCCACGGATGGCGCTGGATCGACCGGAGTGCCTGGAGTGTGGAGGAAGAAAAGTCCTTTGCGAAGAAGGCGATTGCGGCGATCAAACAAACGGCGGGGAAAGAGCCTAGAGGGTGGTACTATGGCAACGTCTCTGCTCGTTCTGGCCAGCGGGCGAGGGCGCTCATCGCCCAGGTGTATAGGGAGGAGGGGCTGCAGTTGAAGTATTATTCTGACAGTTACTCGGATGATCTGCCTTACTGGGTACCCATGCCCGGAGGCGAGAAGAGCGAGGGGCTGCTTATCATCCCTTGTGAGTGCCTTCCCTGACGAGGAGGCAAGTGTTGAAGTCCGTAGACACGCTCGACAACAACGACTATCGCGAGGCGAGGTACAACGGGTTCCAAGCGCCATCTGCATTCGCAGACTACCTCATCACAGCCTTTGACGAGCTGTACGCAGAGGGCCTCGCCGGCGCGCCTAAGATGATGTCCATCGGCTTGCATTGCCGACTCGTTGGGCGTCCAGGGAGAATTGGCGGCTTGAGAAAGTTCTTGATGCATGCCAAGGCTAGGGGAGACGTTTGGTTCGCTACGAGGGAGGAGATCGCAGACCATTGGAGGGCGACGTTCCCGTACAAGCCTGTTGATTAGGCAGGCCAAAGAATGGTAAATATCTGTAATGATTCCAGTGTAGTGATATCGCATATGCAAATTGTGATCAAATTCAACCTTACTAGCGCATCACCACTTCCTTCCCTTTCCACCTCCGTTCAGCCCTTCGAGTAACTTGATCCTCCCATCCAACGCGTCCATGCTCCGCTCGTCATCCGCCTCGAGCTCCTCGATCCTCGGCCCGCTCATATCGTACTCGGCAGGCGGGGGCTGCACAGGCGGGAAGGGGAAGGGCGTCGAAGGTGGGACGAACTGGAAGTTCGGGGTGTGGGACGGTTGTACTTGTGATGGTTCAGGTCGTGCAGGGGCGGGGAAGGGCTTGAAGTTGGCTGCGATGAGGATGACCGCTGTGGCGCTGAGGAACATCGCCTGCGTCGGGTTAGCCTGGTCGGAAAAGGGCACAAGTAAACGAACGTACGACCATCCTCCAGCTAACGTTGCTGGCAAACTCATCCAGCACCTCCGCGAGCACCTGGGCGATGACCTTTGTATATCCCAAGCTACGTGTGTCCCTCTTGATACAGTTTTCCCACTGGAGACACTGAAGTCGCAGTTCCGGCCCCACAAAGTCAGAATCACAATGGTTCCTGAGTCGCTTGTCGATACATTCCTGCACTTGGATGCTGTACTCGCTATTGTGGTGCTCAATGCGGGAGCCGACGTCGCGGAAGACAGAGTACAGGAGGCTGGAGACGGAGAGGAAGACAAACAAGAGGAGAAGGGAGTTGAATACGGCACGACACCAGGCCCAGACGCTCCCTGCGTAGTCTGTTTCCCGCACCAGAGGAGGAGCAGAGGGGACAGGATAAGGCCAGAAGATTTGTTGAGTGAGCGACGGTTGGCCATTGCCGTGTATCTGGTTTGGTTGGTGCTGGAGCGCAGCCTGACGCCGTTTCTTCATCACGCGCTTATACCCTCCCAGCGCAACTTCTCGTCCTTTAACCGTTGTGTCCTCCAGATCGATAGTCGTATCCTGCTCTGGCTCCCTCTGCTTAGCCTTCTTCGGTTTCTTCCCAGCGGGCTTGACCGCCTTGTCCTTCTCTCTTTCCGTCTCCTCCCCTTCGGTAACATTCGACATCTCGACATCTTTGATTTCCTCCACCGGAGTGGGAGTCACAGCACCAGGATGGAACGCCACGCTGTCGGTGTCAAACAGCCAGGGGGTATTAGACGGTGGGGGCTGGGAGAATGGCGGTGGGTAAGCAGGTGTAGTTCGGGAGGGTGGGAAGACCGGCGGTCCGGGAGAGGGATCTATATGTGGTCCTATATAATGTTAAGCATATCCAAGCACTTCCAATTCTGGTAAGGCATACGTTTCCTTGGCGGAGAGTCGTATTCCCCTTGCATGTAACTTGGCCTGTCAACGTCCATCGGTGCTGAGGTATCGCGTTCCTCTACTACGCCAGGTTGTGAGAAAAGAGACGAGGCAAATCCCTGGCGTGTACGTTCGTAGTCCATTACTTTAGAGGGGATAAGAATGGGAGTATGATGGGCATAAGATGGTGGTAGGAGGAGGAGTAGCAGGAGGAGCAGGAGCAGGAGGAGAAGTAGAAGTAAGGGACGCGAAAGTTGAACACGGATTACGGTCACGTGTCAGTCATATCCGACGGGGTTGAACAGTCCATTCATTTTCACTCAACAAACAACTGTAAAAGTTGCAATTCAACTAACTAGTGTACAATCTACAGTGATCAAATTATGAAAAATTATCAGACCGTAGTCAACACTCTCAACCAGCTCAGGCAGACGTCTTCGGCTTAGGCTAACAACCCGTCAGCCTTCTTTCTCTTCATCAAAATATTCATACCTTTGCCTCATCCCCGCTCATCCTCACAAACACACTGGCATTAACAGGTTTGTCTCCCTCTTCCAGCCCATCCCCACACCCAACCGCAATCCTTTCCCCTCCTCGACTGACAGCGATCGCCTGCACCGCCGATCGAAACTTTGGCAGCTGCTTAATCCTCTTGCGCGTGCCGATATCCCATATGCTGATCGACGCGTCCGATCCGCCTGAGAGGAGCGTAGCATATGTCGGGTGGAAGGCGAGCGCGTTGACAGGGAAGATATTCTCCACCCCATCCACGGTCGTCCGATGGCACTTGAACGCGTACTTCTTCGCTTGTGCATTCTCCGAGTGGTCGTAGTAATCAATGGCGATCCTGCCTTCGACGGAGGAGCTCGCGAATCCCTCGCCCTCCGGCATGCAAGCGACTTTGCGTACTTGGAACTTGAGACTGCTTTCCCTTACCTGGGCGGGCTCCTTGTGCCCCGTCCGCTCGCGTAGCATGCGCAGGTCCCACACGCGCACATGCCGCCCAGCCATGCAGACGACGAGCCGCTCCTTGTCTGCATCCATGCTGTACACGCGTTCCGGATGGGGGGCGGCGAGGATCTGCGGTGTGGGGGAACGGACGTCCCACGCGCGGACGGTGGCGTCCCACGAACCGGAGAGGAGGAAGTTGTATGACTCGGACCAGACGACAGAGCGAGCTGCATTTCCGTGCGTGCCTAGGGTGTGTACTGTACCTTTCTCGATGTCGACACTGTGGGTATATGAGCGAGGAGCAAGGTGGTACGGTATGGACGTACATCCGCACGCTGCCGTCTAAACTTGCGCTGTACGCACGCGCTGCTTCGGGATAGGCGATGTCCAGCACAGGTGCACGATGCTGGACAGACACGAGCTGGTCGTCTTTTGTGACGTCGTACAGGCGAACAGACTAGAATGAAGTGAGATGAGATGCTGTTAAGAGTAGAAGAGGACGTACACCGTCCCATGCAGAGACGAGGAGATGATCTGCCGTCGCCGGTGAGAAATGGAGTGAAGAGACCATGTCGACCGGCGCATTGTCAAGTTCAATTTCCACTATTCAAAATATTAGAAAGTATTATAATATTCAATAAAATAAATACCTGAACTTGACATGTTGAATAAGAGATGATGGTGGTAAGAAGAAGAGCGGCGTGGGCCCTCACTGTCTGCTCAACGATGCCGACGTTGCCTACCGAATTATGGCTGCTCATCGTCTCCCCTCTCGTCGACGTCCAGTACGCCCTCTCCGCTCCCCAGCCAGCCGACGTCCAGCGTACACTGCATGCTCTCTCTCTTACTTCAAGGCAGCTCAACGCCGTCCCATCGCAGTACATCTACGACTGTATCTGGATACGCTCTCATCATGCGCTCTCTTTGCTGCTTGCTCACTACCGACGACGACGAGTACGCACTTTAATCTACTCTGGCCCTCTACGCTCTTTCCCTCTAGACGACGTCCACCTCCTCCTCACCCATGTCGCCCCTACGCTCGAAAGACTGTTTCTCTCACTCTCACTAGGCATGCCGCTGGCGACGTACAACAACCCTCTCCTCCTCCTGCGACCTACGCTTCAGCTCTGCAACCACCTACGCGAACTAGGAAGCTTCTCAAATGCATCAGACGAGCTGCTCTTCCCCCTTCGTCGAACAGTCCGACGCGCTCTCCAGCCCGCTCCCGACCTCCTCACCTGGCCAGGAGTAGAACGCGTCGCACTCGTCAACCTCAACATGGGCAGTGCGCTCCAGCTCGCCCACGTCCTCCCTAATCTCAAGAGCGTCGCCCTCCCCGCTCAGGGATTCGAGGAAGGGCTCGTCTACCATCTCCAGACCATCCTGCATTCCCTCCCACCTGGGCAGACAGACCTCGTCTGGGTGCGGCACAAAGACAACACCGAAGAGGGCGAGAGCGGCGCTTGGTTCTTATTCCACTTCTTACCCTTGGTCGAACGGCTCGCCTCTGACTTTGCGGGGAAAGTAAGGATGTGGCTGCTTCATGCGCCCGTGGGGAGGGTCGGGTTGGGCTGGTGGATGATGCAGCGGATGCTACAGGGGGAGATGTGGATGGACATGGGAATCCGGCTTGGTGGAGACAGAGAGGAAGGGAAATCAGAGGTGAGGGAGGAATGATGGAGTCGTTTGCTTGGCCGACAACGAGAACATCAAGCCCATCGCGTAACAGATTCAGTTCCTCCGTATCTCCACCGCTCAGGTTGCCCCCCCGCGACTGCCGCTGAGTGTAGAGTCTTACGGCCACAGTACGGATCAAATCAACCGTCGGCTCGCACCTCGTACAAGCACATCTGAATTTCTGATTACAACCTAAATTGGATGAAGAAAGAATATCTCGAAATCGTTCAGCAGCAGAATGTGGGTGTGAGATTGGATGCACCGTGACACGAGAACCATCTCCTGACATCATCTATGGGATATAATGCCCCGATCGATACGAAGTGATATTGCAAACCTTCCAAGCATCTCTATGTGTTCGATATCTTTCCCATCTCCAACAATCTAGGAATAATCAACCACACGGCTCGATGGGAATTGACCAATCACAGCTCGGCGCCTCCCCCTTCTTTCATTGATAGCCCCACGACGGCAAACTTGCAAACGGCAACGCGCCGCCCATATGTCTTTTTCACTCATCACATAGCAACTCTCTCAATAGCACTGTCTGTCCTCTCTCTATGAAAAGCGGCCACAAGGGGCACCTGGCAACCTTCATCTTGGGCGTGACAACAAATACCCATTCTGTTCTTGTCGGTGCCGCTTTCTGGGTCTTTGCATATGGTCTTCCAGCGTTCCCTGGGCGCTCAATTGGCCTACTCGCCGATAACTGCCGACCTGGCGGCGCTCTTCCTTGGGGCCTTATCTTCCGGCAGCATGTTCCTGCGCCGGCACTCGGTAACAGACGCCATTTCCCAACCTCGGGTAGGCTGTCAACCCTTACTATCAGGGCCATCCTATCAGATGTTTGCCTCGCGGGGCGACAATCCCCGCTCACTTGGAGACTTTTGTTATGGCCGTCCTCAGGGGTTGGGCTTTCCGCCTTCTGGGGGATATAGCTGGTGTGCAGAGGAATGAGACGGGGGCGCGTGCTCTTTCCCTCCCTATCTCGAGCAGCTTCGATCCGATTTCTACGTGTCTTCCCACGCTAGCTCAATATCACCACAGGCTGCAACTTCAGCGTCAGCATGGCTCTCCCTCAGATCGGCCTGAACGCAATTGGGTCCAACCTTACTCTTGGATCTCAGAGCCCTGTGTTCACCTACCTGCCTGCACGGGACGGGAGCGTCAACAACGGATGGAACGCGTCCTACACAGGGACGACACATGCAGAGGCCTATGGCGGCGGTGTAGGTGTGGGAACAGCGTATCGTGAGACACAGATGGATGGGGCGAGCGTCGGCCTGTCGTATAATGGTACGTTCTTTCCCTATACATCGGTTGGCTTGGAAGAGACTGACAAATACAAGGGACCTCGGTCTACTTCTGTCTTGGGCTTAGCAGCTACCCGGCTTCCTTCCAGCTCACGGTCGATGGCATCACTGGGGCGTATACGATCCAGCAGTCCTCCGACCCTGCCTGTGATGGGTATGAAGGTGCCGATTCTGTCGTGCTTGTGAACAACCTCCAGGATGGCGCGCACGAGGTCTCCCTGAGCGTGAGTGTCGATCAGCCTGGATATGTACGGTTTTATGGGGCTGTCGTCACCCTCATCGGAGGTAGTACAGAGTACGCATCCACCACACAATCCGGTACCACCACTAACCAGGAGTTCACAGGCAAGTCCTGAAACGTACGAACATCTCTTGGGCAGATAAAAGCTGGATATACGAGCCTACTGGAGTGTGGGGTAATCGACCAGACTATGACCTGTTCAACAACTCACTCGCCATCGGCGATCTGGAGGGAAGCTCCAGGTGGGCGCGTACGTACGATCCAACCTCTATAGCGGAGATCAGCATCACCGGTAAGTATCATATCCACTACGCAATGTATAATACTGACACACAGCAGACACATCCGTCTTTTACTTGCTCGGCCCCATAGGCCCCAAATTCGCCAACTACACGGTCTCGTTCTCCGGCGCTTCGCAGACCTTCATCCCAACAAACTACTTCGCCGCCTACCAGCAAGTGCTGTACTTCGCTGGCTGGCTGGACCCGACACTAGCATACACGCTTACCCTGCAAAACTGGGACGAGCAAAATCCAGCTCAGACGAGCGCTATGTACCTCGCAATTGATGCGTTGGTGCTTATGAAACCTGTTGCAGCAAGGTAAGCGGCTTGAAAGTGGATGCTGGAGAGACAATGCTTACCAACTGGCTATCAGGTCGTCCTCAGTGAGTACCGGCATCCCCGCGTACGAAACCAGGTGCCCCACATGTGCTCTCGTGGACCAACCTACCCAGATTCCCACATATATTTCATCCCCCTCCACCCACACATCGCTAGCACCCGCAATAGCCGGTGGAGTAGTGGGCGGCCTGGTACTCCTCATCGTGCTAGTTCCACTCCTGATGCTCTCACGTCGGAGGCAATGGAAGACGCAACGAGATCTCGCAGGAGAAGAAGCACCTTTGCGACACGACCGTTCTCCATCCTCCCAAACCCAAACCAATCCCTACAGGTTCTCGAAGCCTATATTACCCAGAGGCACATCTATCTCATCGTCTCAACTCCTGCCCCAGAGGCCGGCAGTGACCATCTGCACGCAGAACCTCGTCCGCCCAATATCGACAGATTCTGTCATCTCTATCTCGCCCCAGTGCACAGCGACAGAGAAGGCTCCTCCTTCCTCTTCGGGGCTGAGCCAGGACACACCAGTAACGAGGACCATATCACGAACGACGTCGAGGACACGAACTACGCCGCTGGGAGCAAGCAGCTTGCGCCCTGATTTGTTGCACGCTGTTCCCTTGCGCGATTTGGTCAGTCATTTGAATGAAAGACTACAACACTGTCCACCGCCGGGAACGAGCATGGAGAGTGCGCCACCGGGATATGAGTAGTCGAAGCGCAGGGCTTAGGGCTTCAGGCCGTGGCACATAGGGCGAGGAATGGAAGGGCAAGGACACAACTCAAACGCACTATACTTTAAATTCGTTTATCTCAGAAAACCAAGGAAGATTCAAATGAACAGTATGAACAAAGTGTATACATAGCGCATCTGGGCGATTGTTTAGGGCCGGTCCCGTATGACTCTTGCGTGTTGAGGGGGGTTGTTTAGGGCAGGCTCGCGTGGACTTGTGTGCGTGTGCGTGCGTGCGTGCGTGCATGACTGACAGAACCGGGTGCTGGCATCCGAGTTGAGCGGTGTCCTCCAGGAGATCCCAACCACTGGACTGGACACTCCGACACCGTTCCCTACCCCCTACTCTGGGTCCCTATGTATGCACCTGACCTGCCCTCCCTCCATCCACGGCCATAGGACACTGAAAGCACCGCATCCCGTCCGATCTGCGCAGTTAACCAGTGTGCCGCCCGGTTAGTACCACGGTGGGGGACCACGCGGGAATCCCGGGTGCTGTGGTTTTGTCGTTCTTTCTTTTTACTCGTTCCGTAGTGTAGCTCTCTGTAGGAGTCTGTGTTCTCTGCTGTACTTACTCTGCTCATAATCCCACATCGTTCCCCTGTTCACTCGTGTGTGCCCTGCAACCCTCAACTCCGGACACCCAGACTCACCCTCGGACTCACCCTCAGCTGATCCAGCCCACGGTATCCTGCTAGCAAGCTCACCCAGAGTATAACAGCATGCAGT